CCACACACCCACCCTCGCCAACCCACACCCAGCTGGGAGCCACACACCCACCCTCTCCAACCCACACCCAGCTGGGAGCCACACACCCACCCTCTCCAACCCTCACCCGGCTGGGAGCCACACACCCACCCTCTCCAACCCTCACCCAGCCTGGGAGCCACACCTCTGCCCTCTCCAATCCACACCCAGCTGGGAGCCACACCCCTGCCCTCTCCAACCCTCACCCAGCTGGGAGCCACACACCCACCCTCTCCAACCCTCACCCAGCCTGGGAGCCACACCTCTGCCCTCTCCAACCCACACCCAGCTGGGAGCCACACCCCTGCCCTCTCCAACCCTCACCCAGCTGGGAGCCACACCCCTGCCCTCTCCAACCCACACCCAGCTGGGAGCCACACACCCACCCTCTCCAACCCTCACCCAGCTGGGAGCCACACCCCCGCCCACTCCTCTCAGGTGGCCACATCTGCCTCCAGCTTCTGAAAATTATTTCTTGAAATAATACATTGTTTGCTTCTAGCACATGGGGGCAAAAGTTGCAATTCTGTTTATAGAAAAAGTTCATGCCAGTTGCCTGAACCCAGCGTCAGTCAGAAAAATGTGCATGGTCTTTCCTTAGCACTGCTTCTTCTGGGAGTTCACTCTGAGGAAAGAATCTAAAGGGCATCAGGAAATATTTGCTGATGCCAGCCTTGTGCATGCATGTGACCCCTCGCAGGAGAGAACAAGCCCTCAGGAAGCTATGTGGTGCAACAGTCCTAACAGAAGTGTGGGCAGCGATATGAATGTTTGGCAATAGAGAGAGGGAGCAGCAATATCCTCTATGCAAAACCATTTCATAAACATAAACACATGGCCTCCTGGACAATACAGACAGCATCTCGGGCCTAGTGCGGCCATCCAAATCCTGGTGCGCCCTTGTGCTAAGAGCAGTTGTAGTAAGCCCTGGTGGGTACAACAGAAGAGGCATGTTAGGCAGTGCATGGATGGCGTGTGGTCCCCCCCCTAGGGATTCACCCTATGGCCACACTCACATCTATGCAGGAACATTCATTTTGGCATTGTGACAGGAAAGGATCAAAATTAGCCTAATTGTCTATCATTTAGGACCCATGGAATCAAGCAGCAAGTAATGGAATTATACTTGATTCTCTGCCCTTGGCCAGGTGCCCCCAGAAGCAGAACTAGAGATAAAGATGAGGGTGCAAATGGCTTATTTAGGAGACGACCCCAAGAAGCACCGTAGAGAAACCTGAAAGAAACATGGTAAGGAAGACACTGAAAATGGGCTGGTTGCCACGGCCGTGGTTTGCTGTGTCAGGGTGGAGGTGAAGACCATTCGTTTCCCTAGCGGGGGCTCTGCTCCTATCTGCCTTTTTGCCACGTCAGAAAGCGAAGTAGAGTGAGCACAAGTATGCACTACCTCTTTGGTGTCTCTTATAAGGATACTAAGCCCATCACAGGGGCCTCATGACCTCAGCTCATCCTAATCACCTCTCAAAGGCTCCATCTCCAAATACCCTTACATTGGGTTACGGCTTTAATATAGAAATTTTCAGGGTGGGGGAACCCAATTCATTTCATAGCAGCTACAGTCCCAGGGAAATCTGGGACACAATACAGATTGTTCCTCAGTTTTACTCTCAAGGGAGGTAAAAGTTGGAGTGTTTGCTCCCACCACCTGACTTCTGTCAGACATGGGTCAGGATGGCTCCCAGGGGACACTCACTCCCACACACCCAGCTTCCCTGTCATCAGGCCAAGAGGTAGCCCTCAGGTAGCTTGAGTTGCCAGGAAGCCCATCAGGGCACCCTACCTAGAACTGGTGAATATGAAGGGATGTAGGTTAGGGATAGGATTTTCATTTTTGGACTCCGTTGTAGCCAGGCATGGCAGTCACTCTAGGACAGTGGTTCTCAACCTTCCTAATGCCACAGCCCTTTAATACAGTTCCTGTGAGTTGTGACCCACAGGTTGAGAACCGCTGCTCTAGGAACTGGCCAACAGCATGGAATTAGAAATGGAATGTGCTATCCAGTTTGTGTCTTTAAATAGATCTTGGGTGTCCTTTTCACTCTTGAAAGGTGAACAGCTCTTTCTTCATGGAACATACAGGAAAGGGCCAGGCTCTAGAGACAGGGGAACAAAAAGAGAGCGGGGCCTGGTCTCCCGGTGGCCCCATGGGGCAGGTATCTCACCAGTTCTGGACACCCCCCTCTAGACAAGAGAGCACATCTTGTTTAAACTGCTGTTGACAAGCCTGTCACAGGCAGCTGCAGCATCACCTGACACCTCAGGACAGATCCTGCTGTCCTGGAAAACATGGCAAGGAAGACACTGAAAATGGACCAGTTGCCGTGGAAAGGTACAATGGCAACACACAACACGAGCCACATTCTGTGACCCTAAAACTGAATAATGCACAAAATGGCATTGCTTGCAAGGACCTGGGGATTTATTTAAACCAAATTTATTTTTATTTATTTATATTTTTTTGAGACAGAGTCTCAAGCTGTCATCTTGGGTAGATTGCCGTGGCATCACAGCTCACGGCAACCTCCAACTCCTGGGCTTAAGCTATTCTCTTGCCTCAGCCTCCCAAGTAGCTGGGACTAAAAGTGCCTGCCACACACCCAGCTATTTTTGTTGTTGCAGCTGACATTGTTTTAGCTGGCCCAGGCCAGATTGAAGTCTCCAGCTTCGGTATATGTGGCGGGCGCCCTACCCACTGAGCTACGGATGCTGCCCTATTTTAACCAAGTTTTAAACACTGGAAATAGGCAGCACAGGAAGCTACCGGGATGACAAAGCCACAATTAAAAGTTAAAAAAAAGACAATGAAACAAAAACTCCACACCATAACTATAAAAAATTGGGAAACAGTTCCCTGACAACAAAAGCCAGAAAAACCAAAAGAATGTCTAAACGAATATTTTTAACACAATCCATCAATGTCACCTCCACCCTTTGAAGTCTCTGGTTTTGAGAGTCTGAAAAACTGGAAAATAAAAGAGAATTTCAAGGAAGTTAAAATGCCAGATGACTGGCAGCTCATGCTGGTGGTCCCTGTGGGAACTGGCCTGCAGGGATGGCAGAGTAAGTGCCTCCTGGCTGGCCCTCATGCCCTGTCCAGCTGTGTGCATGATCCTCTTTCTCGGATTACCCAATGACCCTGCCAGGACCCAGCCATGGGGGTGGGGGTGATAGAGTCACAGCAACCTCCCCTGTGATCTGTGGGGACACACATGTTCTGGTACCAGCCAGAGAGGAGATAACTAGAGGGTGCCAGAGCAGGGGTAGAATTCCCCGAGGACAGAGAGATGAGAAGGGACATGTGAAGGCTCCAGAGCTGCCCAAGGCCCTTTAGTGCATGCAGTACTGGGCATGGCCCTGCACACACAGCAGAGGGTACAGGGTGGCGTGGTGGTGGGCACAGTGTGCATGTGACACTGGGTGCCGGCAATATCAGCGTACAGGGGGACATCAGTGGGAAGTCATGGAGTAGCAGCACACATGAGGGAAACAAATGTGTGTGACAAGGATTAGAATGTGGCGACCTGAAGGGGAAAGAGCAGGTGGCAGGGAACATCTACTTGTAAGATTTGGGAAGTGTGACACCCTGTGGGTGTAACTTCAGCAAACAGGTCACATCTGAGACTGTGTGGCGTGAGCTGGAAACCAAGGTGTGTGTCATTGAAGCAGGTGCATAACACCTGAGCACACAGTAGCCTGACATACAGCATGTGTGGCTTCCAAGAGTGTCTCACGGCCAGGGAGATCCTAACCAGGATGGAGGCCCCTAGGTGTGTTCCTCCTCACACCTGGCTCAGAACAGCAGGGCTGTGGCCCAGTGGCTTGTCTGCTCTCTGCTGCTTATAGCAGAGCACCTGAAAATAGGTCTTTTATAAGGAAAGGAATTTCTTTCTTTCTTTTTTTTTTTTTTTTGAGACAGAGCCTAAAGCTATCCCCCTGGGTAGAGTGCCATGGCCTCACAGCTCACAGCAACCTCCAACTCCTGGGCTCAAGCGAGTCTCCTGCCTCCGCCTCCCAAGTAG